CACATCCCCAACTTCCTGGCTTTGTTAAAGCCGAGGACCAGCCTCAGTGACTGGCACGTGGGTCCACATTTGCTTCGGCATCTAGAGCTGGACAGAGGGCATCTGCTGGCCTTGCTGCGGTCCCGTGCCTCTTTCCTATGGGAAGTATCACTCGTGACTTTAGATCTCAGTGTCCCCTGGAAGCTTGCTGAGCTTTGCCTGTTCCCCAAGGAGATTAACACCAATGCTCGTTGAGTTATATGCAACTTAGAATCGTGTATGAATAGCCTGAAAAAAATCCAAGGGGAAGGTTTAAGTTCATCTCTAGATAATCCATCTCACTTATTTTTTTCCCTACTTAAAAAAAAAAAAGCAATCTCTTGGGAATGGTGCAGAAGCAGGATGGAACACTGCCCTGGCGCTCCCGTGTCTGATGACTGTGTCCCCTGTTAAGTGAACACATACTATTGCCCGTTTGGAGTTATGAAGCCCCCTCTTCCAATGGCTTCTCCTTGTCCTATTGCCCCGTCGCGCCTCCAGCAAGCTGCCCGCTTTCCGTGGAACAAATGTGTACCCAGCTCTGCGCCATGCCAAACCGTATTGCCTCTCTTGGCCACCACAAAATTCATCAGTAGGCATTACCTTCTGCAGAGGGAGTTCAGAAGTCTCTCTTCCATTTATAGCTCAAGAATTGTGTCGTTCCTCACTCGGGATCCGTGTTCCCCTCACGCCACCTCGCTGGGACCAGCTTGCTGCACTGCTGTCCCCTGGGCTAGCGCCGTGCCAGAAGCTTCTTTCCAGGTGGTCTGCGATCAGGACATTTGCAGGCACACGGAGAGCGCCTGTCATTGGGGCACAGGGGCTGCCCGTATCCCTCCTCACCCAACTCCGGGAGCAGCATCCAGTCAGAGCTGTGCTGAAGTCATGGGTAACAGTTGCTGACAACTGCTGTTACTTTAAGATGTTGAGTGCATTTGATAAATGCTAGAAAAAAAGTCAGAGTTTTAAAAAACTTTTGTCTGTACATTTATATTGGATGTCTTATTTTATAAATGAAGCTTGCGCCCTAGAAACTGGATTTTATAATTTATAGTTTATCATCTAAAGCACAGAATATAAATGCCTCTTCTGTGCTGTAAAGATAATCTACTGCAGGACAAAACTTTGAACATGAGCTATATTTAGACAAAAAATTACTATTAAAAAATTAAAAATAGAACTATGCTTTAAAGTTAACAAGGTTCCTTAAAGGGGCCTTTGTGTAAGCTGTGCAGAACCCTTTCTCAAGCCTATTTCAAGATTTTATCTGTCTTGTTTAGCATACCCTAGAACTTTACATAGCCTAATTTAAAAAGAAAATTTTATCTTGGGCAGCCAGCCTATCTGTATTGGTTGAAATTCCACATCGCCTTTAACAACTACGAAGTTAACACTATGGCTTTGTTAACTAAGATCAAGGAATAACTTTAAATGCTTAACATACTACAGGCATAATAGCACCCAGTCAGCACCACATCAAACAAATTGGTCATTACTGTTTATTATGATTTCAGAACATTGTTTTCAGTTGACTCACAGCAGGAAAATTATTTTTAGACATCTTATTCACTTACCAGGTGCCTAGAATTCAGAGTCAAATCTTACAGTCATAGAAAAGAGTCCCTCTTTTCTTGTGCTTAATAAATTATTTGTGCTTTGTAACTCTACATTTCAAAATGTAACAGCCAACAGAGCATGATGCAGCAGCTGTCCTCGTACAGTCTGAAAGCTTGTAAAAGTTGTACTTTGGTGAATAAAACCAAAGAAAAAGAAGGAAGGATGGAAGGAAGGAATGAGAAAGAAGGAAGGAAGGAAAGAAAGAATAGAAAGGAAAGAAAAGGTTTTTCTCAGTATAGTAGAATAAAATTATCCTCTCTTAAAATAAGTGACAGGAAGAAGCCACTTTTCCTGTCATTGATAAAAGCTAAGAAACACAAAAATCAGCTTTTGAAGTATGTTAACTCAGAGTGTTTTAAATAAAAAGCAATAAAAATGCATTCATTATATAGTACCTGTTTTGAATGGTGATTGCAGTTTTATTGTTGGTATTATTATCAAGGCCTAAAAATAATATACTTGGCAGGCAAAATTAAAAACTAGATTTAAAAAAATAAGAGGGTTGGGAGCTGGTTGCTCACGCCTGTAATCCTAGCTACTCAGGAGACTAAGATCTGAGAATCACAGTTTGAAGCCAGCAGGAAAGTCCTTGAGATGCTTATCTCCAATTAACACCAAAAAGCAGGAATAGGAGCTGTGGCTCAAGTGGTAGAGCACCAGTCTTGAGTGAAAGAGCTTCCCTTCCATGCTATGCCTATGCCAAGGGTGAAAGAGTCAGAATACGCTTCATAAACTCTGAGGAGTTTTCACAAGATGCAGGCAGGTCCTGTGTTGATTCCCAAAGCTGGAACAGGTTAACAGCCAGCTAGACTCCACACTGCCAGAAAGTGAAGTTTATGTTTCCAGTCACGCTCTTCCTCCACATCAGCACGTATGACACCTGAGTGCGGATGCTTCTTTGTTTTTTATTGGGGGGTGGGCGGGGAGATGCCCTGTTCTTTTTAGGGTATTTAACAATATCTCTGCCAGTAGTGACCCCTCCCGATTGTTGGCAGCCATGTGTTCCTATAGACACCCACTGAATGCTTCCTGCTAGACAGAATCACCCCAAGTTGAGAGTCACCGGTCTGATTTCAGAGCTAACATTCTTAATGACATTAGTGATGATATTTATTAGTGTTACCATTATACTGAGAGTTGCTCTTGGTATTGTGTTATAATATCATGCTTTGTGGAGCTACAAAAGAAATAATGAGCTGGGCACCAGTGGCTCACACCTGCAACCCTAGCTACTCAGGAGGCTGAGATCTGAGGATCATTGTTCAAAGCCAGCCCAGACAGGAAAGTCCCCTAGACTCTTTAAAAAAACAACAACAATGTTTTTTATTGTAAAAATAGTGTACAGAGGGGTTACAGTTACATGAGTAAGGTAATGAGTACATTTCCTATCGAGCATTCTTACCTCCCTTCCTCCCCCCGCACCAAGTGTAAAATTCATTTTCAACATAGTGTCTTGTACATCTCATTGTTGCAATGTGTCAACCTGTATCCCTATTTAAGCATTTTGTATTTTCGCTTCCCCTCCCCAAATTAGAAAAGTGTATATACAAGATGTAGGGCACCAAATCAAATGCAGTGAAAATGGGTTATACCTTGGGGGAAGAACATACAAAAGAAACAAAAAAAAGCACATAGTATACTATAAGTATGTTAAAAACAATAACAAGAAAGAAAAAAATCACTTATGTCCCTGTCTTGGGGTTCATTTCACTTAGCATCATTTTATATGTTCATATGTACATAGATTTTGAGCTTTTCTGTTTGTCCTAGACATAACACTCATTATTGCAAATAAGAGAAACCATGGGACCTATGTTTCTTTGGGCCTGGCTTCATTTAATATAATTTTTTCCAAGTCCTTCTTATTCCTATCTCCAATGAACCACCAGAAAACCAGAAGTGGAACTATGGCTCAGGGATAGTGCACAGGTCCTGAATTCAAGCCCATAAGCAACCAAAAAACAAACAGAATGAAAAGAGAGATAATACATGAGAACCCGTCGTCTTTTTATTTTTTTAATATAAGTGGCGACATTCTCTTCTGATGCAGTGAGCTTCCTGTTGCTGGGAGCTCTGTGTGTGATATAAGCATGTCACCTGTCATGGGCGCTGTCTGCAGGGCGCCTGATGCCAGGCCACAGCAGCTCTGCGCTTGCTCCCACGTGGACTTCTGTGGTCATTTCCTAACAGGACACACATAGATCTGTCTTGACCTAGTCTAGTCCCTTCCCATCTGGGCCCGTTGATCTGCTTTTAATACCTGGTAGATAACTGAGGAAAGGAAGGAGACATGGATTTTCATAACTATTTAGCTCATGTGATCTTGGCGCTCAGCCCTGGAGGGTTGTGTTGGTTGACTGTGTTTCCCTTTTGCTGTGGCCTTGTCACCTTTCTCCCTTGCCTGCCCCTTCAGCCTGTGCGCCCACTGCAAAACCTGGTACAGAAACGCAGCAGGAAGTTGGTGTGGAAACGCAACCATGCTTTCTTCCTTGACTGTAGGAGGAGTGGCGTTCTTCGGAACTGCTCACCACCTAGCCATGGAGTTCCACCCTCCATGCTTTTCCTTCCCTCTCCTCCCCCCAGCACAAGACACTAAATACATGACTCCTTTTACTAGACTTCTGCAGTTCTCTGAGGGTAGACTACCCTTCTCCCTATCCCCCCACCAAAATGGCCAAATGTGGGTCTGTCTCCCAAGCCTCCTCACTCTCCTGTCATGATGTCTGTATCTGTCTCTCTTCCTGAAATTAGCACCATTCCCAATTTATAATCATCTCTGAACTAAAACTTCCTAACGTTTATGATTGACTATTTGTTACTCTGTTATTAAAACCATTGGGAAATTAGATACATTTGAGCTGGGCCTCATGAATAGTTTGAAAGTATTTCCCACATAACTTTCTGGACACTCAGATTTTCTTCAAACAGTAAGATTTTTTTGTAGATGAATTGCTACTGACAGACCTAGTAAACACAATTACATGTGATTGCAGTGGGCGTGTAACGTGAGGAGATGCGGGGGTAATTGCCACGGTGCTGGGGACCTAGAATCGCCCAGGAATTGCAGCTCTCAACTCTGCTTCCTGCAGGGCCACAACAGTTTGCACGCATAGGGATATTGTCATGAACTCACAACAATAGAATTTTAGTGTCAATTAAAAACTATTTTTTTTCTTCCTTAAAGTACATGTGAATCATCACTCTGGTTCACTTGGAAATAAAAAGACGAATTAGTTCTTGATATAATGTCTTATTTATAGTTACTTCATTTGAGATCAGCATCTCATTGGGGCAGATTTAACCCAGTTCTGGTTTGCTGTGCATCACGTTACATCAGCAAAACATGACGGGCTTTTCTTTTCCAGGTGGCCTTTCTGAAGATGTGACGGAGGGCACTCAGGCGTTCTTGTTTCCCCAGACTGAGGGAGAACCCCAGAGGCCAGCCGTCTGCTCTGTGGGCATCAGATGCAAAGAAAGAACCAGAGCTGCAGAGTAAGAGCGCTGCGTGGAAGAGTTGAGTTTCCTTGTTTGCATGTGTTCTCTAGAGAAGAGCCAACTTAGCTCTGAAAGCCCAGAGCCGGGAGGGAAGGTGTCCACAAGTGAAGAATGGTTGCTGCATCTCTGCTTCCCACCGAGAGGAACATTCAGATGTGTGCTGCGTCAGCACCGCTTGCTCACCGAGACCCATCTGTCTGAGGATGCGGGGAGGAATTGGCCTGGAACTGCTGTAAATCCTAGGAAATAAACTTTTAAAGAGCTTCTTGAGTTTGTTTAAAGGAATTTTTTTAAAACCTGAGAATATGGAACCTTTTGTACCATACTCAGAGGAGGTGTTCATAAATGCTTGTTGAATGAATGATTATCCAATTAAAGGCCCTCTTGCTTATTCAAACCCGCGTGTGTCCTTGTACCACACACTCGCCAATTAGCAAACATGCCTCACTGGCTTCCTGGTGCATACACAGGTTGTCTTCATCCTTGTCTACTAGAGCAGGTGGTGAGGAAGACACTGAACGAGATCGATAGGGCTGAGTGGAATCTCACAGGGCACGGCCAGCTCCTCATGTTGTGGAGCGGCTTTGGGACTTGGCATGGGCTCAAAGCTGGGATGGGAGCCGGGCGACCCACCTCCCTACCTTCCATCTCATCCTGGCCCAGTCTCCCGCACCAGTCGCAGCAATGTCTGGATTTGCCATGATCCCTGCTACAATGGAGCCTCTTGGACACCTCTTCCTCTTCCTCAGACACCTAAGTGTCTGGTCCCTTTGTTTCCCAACAGGTGTTCCCACAGGTCCCTTGGCTGTGATTGGGCGAACCAATCTTGATGCCTTCCTTGTAGTTCAACAAGATACTTGTCCCCCAGCAGAGCAGTGGGATGAGGAACGAGAGTGGAATTAGGTCTCCTGAGCCTCCACGTAGCAGGAGTGGGACCATCGCTTTGATCTCCTAGCATCCCTCTATTAAGTGCAGGTGCATACCTTAGAGTGCTTAGTGAGGTAGCCATGGCTTGTTCTGTTCCTAGACTCCCACACACCACGTTGACTTCTCATGCTTTTGATTCCTGTCTGTCCTGGAGGGCAAGAGTTCTAGGCAGCATGACTATGGCTGGGGAATCCCTGGTCACGGGAGCCATGGGATGCATTGGATGCTTAGCAGTATTGCTGGTGTCTGTCTACCCGCCAGATCACAGCATCCACTCTCCCCTTCCAGCTCTGACGACCCACGCTGCAGGGTGCCTGGACAGGCTCCATCCACTGGAGCTGAGGACCACGGCTGTAGAAGACAAGCTGGAGAAACAGGATGTGCTGATTGATGCTGGTAACCACCTGTTCCTAGAGAACAGATCACTCATGGTCCTATACTGAGATTTAGGTTTGTATAAATGAATACCTTCTTGATGAATAACTGGTGTGTGTGTGACTTCCTTGGAGTTCAGTTTGTATTGATCTGATGGCGGAGACTGGGATAAATTAGGTGCATCAGAGTTCAGCCTGTATATACAAAAGATATTCATCTGAGACAGCGTCTCTCCTGGCGTAGAGAGATGCTGTGGCCATGCAAACCTATGTTTATGGCTTAAATAGCAAAGGTGCTTATGATTCAAGAAAACAACTGTTCTCAAAAACTCAGCTAAGATTAATATTCTGATTTATTCATCTGGGATCTTAGAAGGAACCGAGTCAGCTACTTTTCTAGTGGTTCAGTGTGGGGTACAGAGGTATAATCCCTATGAGAAATGGCTAGGACATCACACAATGTACACACACACACACACAACCCAGATTTCCTGTGCCTGTTTGCAGTTATGTCTAACAAGCAACTTAAAAGCTTATCATCATGAGCCGGGCCCAGGTACCTCACCCCTGTCATCGTAGCTTCTCAGGAGACAGATCTGAGGATCATGGTTCAAGCCAGCCTGGGCAGGAAAGTCCCTGAGATTCATAACTCCATCCAGTGAACTACTAGAAAACCAGAAGTGGAACTGTGGCTCAAAGTGGTAGAGTCTGGGCCAACGCCCAGACTCTTGAGTGCAAGCCCCAGACAACAACAACCCCATAAAGCTTACCATGATGAAGTGCTCACAGTCACCTACTGTAGGTGAGCGTATGTATGAGAGAGAAAGAGAGAGAGAAAGATGCACCTAGAACATTAAGGGGATTTAAACGGTTAAGCAACAGTAGGGGGACCGGAAAAAAACAGGCTATGCAGTCTTAGTCAGCAGAGGATGTAGGTTTCCATTCATCTCCTGTGTCCTGGGGGTATAATTCCAGATTGACTCAGTAGCATTCCTGGAAAATAGGACCACAGAATTTTGACTTACTGTGAGGAGGTTAGCAAGGATCTGAGACTTAGTTAATATACTTAAATAGCTTCCGGTCCATTTTTTTTTTAAGTATCTCTAAAAGCAGCCGTGATGAGGTGATTCCATGAACCACTTACTGTAAAATTACAGTAGCTAGATCTTGTTGAAAATTCCCACTGGCTGGCCACCAATGTTGATAAAGTTCATTATTGAACAGCTTCACCATCAGCATTATAGTAAGACGGTAAGGCAGAGTTCTTAGACCTCATGTGCCTCATGCGCTCAAAAAGCAGACAAAATGAAATACCATGTTTCATTATAAAATACCTTCTCATAAGATCAGAAAGTGATAAATCCAATAAGGACAAAAGCTGAATGAAGGAGGCAGGAGAATAAGATGTGTGCAGGGTGAGCATATACAAGCCTCAGATACTGTGTGGGCAGGATGACTCCATTCTATCATGAGTGACGCCTGTCATCCTAGCTACTCGGGAGGCTAATAGGTGAGGATCCAGGTTTGAAGCCAGCCCAGGCAGAAACTCTGTAAGACTTCTCTCTCCAACTAACCAGCAGAAAGCTGGGAGTGGAGGCATGGCTTAAAGTAGAGCACCAGTCCTGAATGAAAAAGCCAAGGGATAACCAGAGGTCCTGAGTTCTAGTCCCAGTACTCACACCACACACACAAAAAGAGTGACTGGAGACACATTACAAAATTCAAATTGGTTTTGTGTACAAACTGCACCTTGCCTGACTTTACCACAAGTAGCTGGATTAAATAAGGAGCCACCAATATTAGCAATACTTGTGTGACTGCACTGATTCCAGAAAAAGCATTCGACTAGATTCAGGCCCTGGTGACTTGCCTTTCCACAGCCCTTGGGTAATTAAGCTTGCTTAGTAGCCACTGTAGTAGAAAGCGCTGACAGCGTTCGATAGTTTTGTATGATGAATGAATGCTGCCGCGCTGTCTCTCTGTACATTTGTTTTTGTGCTTAATGTGAAACAAAGATTAATTAGAACCCATGTGCTGCTGGAACGTAGGAAGTATTGATGACTGGTACATCTTGGTCTATAGTTAGAAAAGCTTTTATGTCAGAGGCACAGCTCTCACTAATTGCTCGTCTAAAACTTCTATACACCGTTAATCAACTTAAACACTAAAGACCACCCCGTGTGACATGCTATCACAATTCCTCATCGTACCCTTAAATGCTTCAAGATTCCATCTACTGAATTGATTCATCATCCCTTAATCTGGGGGGGAAAGGAGAGAGAGCCATGGAAGAAGTAAACTGAGAAGTTTTAAGAACTGATGTCAGAGACCATACTACTATTCTTGAAAAAGAAATATGCTTTCATAGTCACTAAGGGAATCAATACCAATGGGTCTTCAGTCCTGCTATGGGAAGTCAAGAAACCCATTTTAAGGGTTTCAAACAGCCCCCAGGGCTCCGGGTGTGCAGGTGTGATCAGCAGAGTGCAGGATTTATAGGTTTTATGCCATTGATCTGATCCACCTCGGAGAGCCCTGGCTGTGACCTTGTTTGTGACCTTTGGCAGTCTTCCTGGTCAGCATGAGAAGGGCTGCCAGAGGGTGTGTTCTCTTTCTCCAACTTCCTCCCTGATATTCAGCCTAACAGGATTTTTAAATCCCATTTATTATCATTATTTTTACGGAGTTGGGCAAAAGGCTTATAATTTTTTTTCTTTTCTTTTTTTTTTTTTTTTGTTGTTGTTGGGCTTGAACTCTGGGCCTGGGTGCTGTCCCTCAGCTCTTCAGCTCAAGGCTAGTGCTCTACCACTTGAGCCACAGCTTTTTCTGCTTATGTGGTGCTGAGGAATCGAACCCAGGGCCTCATGCATGCCAGGCAAGCACTCTACCACTGAGCCACCTTCCCAGCCCCTCTTTCATAATTTTTTAACATATTGTATATTGAATACATTAATTGTAGACATTAATTCATTAATGTATGAATTCATTCATACATTAATTCATGTGTCTCCCCTTCCCCCATCTCCCCAAAAAAGAAAAATAAAAACAAATGAATTAAAGCAAGGCAAAAACACTTTAAAAAAATAAGCATGTTTCTATTTCTTGGAATTTGTCTTGATAAACTGCACTTTAGATGTTCAGAGGAGTTATGCCTTTGGATTCCTCCCCTTTGTATAACCTCCTTTAGTTCATTTGTTTGTAAGTTCTTAACACCTTGTATAAGTTACCATGTTTAGTTGCATCTAGCTTCCACATAAGAGAGAAAACGTGTTGTTTGTCTCTTTGAACCTGGCTTACCTCACTTAACATGATTTGTTCTAGGTCCATCCATTATCCCTGCAAATGACATAGTCCTAATTTTCCTTAATAAAATTGCATTGTGTATATGTCCCACATTTTTTGGGCCCACTCTTCTATTATGGGGCATCTGGGCTATTTCCCTATCTTGGTTATTGTGAATAGTGCAGCAATGAACATGGATGTGTAAGTGTCTTTATCATTTCCTGGCTTGTGATATTCTGGGTAGAGGGCCAGGAATGGTATGGCTGGGGTATAGGGAAGATCTGTGGTTAGGATCCTCCAGGCTGTTGTCCAGAGTGGGTGTACATTCCCACCAACAGTGCAGTAGGGTTCCTTTTCCCCATATCTCTGCCAACATTGTTCAAATTCACAGTGTTAGCCAGTGTGACTGGAGTGAAACAGAATCTCAGATTTGTTTGGCATGCAATTCTTTTTTTCAATTGTGAAAATACCATACAGAGGGGCAAGATAATGAGTACATTTCTTATCAAGCATTGTTGCCTCCTCCTTTGTTTCCCATTCCCATCCCTTCACATCTCCCTCTCCTCGCCCCTCCCCAACCAAAGTTGTAAAGTTCGTTTTTCAACATAACATCTTGTACATCTCATTGTTGCAATGGGTCCACCTGTATCCCTATTTAAACAATTGGGTTTTTTTTCCCCTT